AAAAAAAAAGGAACCCAAATTATTTAATTAATTGATAAGAGAAAGCAGTTAAAAATTTAATAGCATTTTTTCTGTAAAAAGCATTCCAAAAGGTTAATTTCTCTGGTTTTCTTTTCGATTTTAGTTTATGTGCAGTGCTGAAAGTATTCACAACATTAGGCGCTTTATAAATCTAGAATATTATTATTATTATTATTCAAAGAACAATGGACATAATTCTTACCGAGGGAAGTGACTCTAGTAAACTGGTCAAGAGCACTTTTTGACATATTATATATAATCATATTTGGTACCTGTAAGAAAACATACAAATAATAACAATAAGTGCTTTGAAACATTGGAATAAAGTTGAATGACAGGAAAAAAACAGATAGAACTGTGAGACTTTAAGATTCCATGCAATTTACAGTCTCCTTAACTTTAACATTTGTATATTTGGTTTTTTTTTTGTTGCATATTTATAGTCCTTAAAGACAAAACTATTAACACACCAAACTCATTGCAATGTATGTTTCATTTCATTTATTTTGTCAAACATTACAAACAAAAATAACAACAGACCAAAATTCAGAGATAGGTTAAACAAAAAGCTGTACAAAGTTTCTCCACTGATTTAAGGAAAAAAAGACATGAAATAAATATGTCTCTCTTCTCTGAAAGTAAAAACGAGCATAAAAAGCCTATCCAAAAAATTTTAAAAAAATGAAAAAATAAAATTTAAAAATTGTCTGCAGCACAGCACAGCCTTATACAGCTTTGAAACAAATTGCTATGAAAATAAATTTGGAAAAATCACAAAGTTTAATAATCCTTGAAAAAACACTTTTTGCTAATAACGCACCAAAATTCCACTTGCACACTTTTACACCACCATTTATACAATATATGTTGGATTACTTACAGCTCTTGTACCACATATGCTGGACACATTGACAATGGCACCTGAGAAAATAAATATTTGTATGTCAAAACTAATTCCACTGTGGTTCTGCAAAAGAAGATACACTTTGTAATTTAAGGTTTCAGCAATTGTTTACCTTTAGATTTAATTAATGAAGGAACAGCAAGATTAGTTATTTGTACGACAGATCTGACATTCAAGTTGAAGACATCATCAAATGTTTCCATTGAAGAAGCAGTTTCAATTGTGTTTTTGTTTGCCATTCCAGCATTATTCACCTGAAAAACACAGAAGAATACTCAATGCCCTAAATACACTATTTAACCTCCTGAATTTTAAGCTGTTTATTAAGTTATTGTTTCCCATTCTTATCTTTTTAAAGACAATCACAATTTAGTTTCTTGGCTACTTTTTTCACCAAAATTCATGCAATTTTATCATTCTTTTCTGTTGTTTAAATCACTGAATGAATACATTAAAATTGGACTACGATGCTGTTTTTAAAAAAATATTTAAGTTACATGAATTTAAAGTACTGAAATATATTTACCAAAATGTCTAATCTACCAAAATTGTCCAAAGTAGACTTGACGAAGCGTTTAACATCTTCTTCATTACACATATCACCTTGAAGAACCAACACCTGCAGAATGTAAAAATGTTAAGAGCAATTCAGAGGTTTTTTTCACTTACTGTATTCCTTTATCTTTTGTGGCTCTTCTTACCATCACTCGCATCAATTAGGTTTGAATGATGCAAACAGTACTAAATGTAATATTCTCTTGGTGATGGTAATGATAAGAGTGATGATGTTTATGACAATGACAACAACAATGGCAGTGATTACGGGACTCGGATTTGAAGGTGAGCATCTTATTCTTATCACCACCAAGCTACAGCAACATTTCATGATAACAAATGTTGACAATAATGCTAATAACAATAATTGATGAATAATAAAATAGCTAAGATGATTAGGATATTTGAAGTAACTACTGTAGTGTAAAAACCTACAAGGTCTATGTTGTTAATGTGAAATATAATCTGTAAACCTTGTCTGCTGCAAGCCCAGCCTCTTGGCACATCCTGGCTGTTGATTCAAGTCTGGCTTGGTTCCGACCAATCAGCGACACACAACATCCTTTTGAAGCAAATTCTAGAGCTGTTGCTGCCCCAATACCTGAGCTTGCACCTGGAATATTATATAAAAAAAATTGTAGAATATGTTCTTTGAAGAATCATAAAGCAATTTCACTAATGTAATGGGCAGATTAGGTGGTCAGAGAGCACCCACATAGTGTGTTGAGATCCCTCTTGTCACCCCTACCCGATTCTGAAACTGCATATTTTCGTACCGTACATTTAATCAATATTAAATAAATATCAAATATATGAGCAGCAGCAGCATTTACAAGGAATGGACAATAAGTAACATAGCCTCAGTACACCAGGATTTAAAACCCATTTCCAGCAAAATTTCACTAAAATAAGATTTTTTTTTAAAGAAAAAAATGCATATGCATTACTCTAATTATTATAAACCATGGAAAAATATTGGCGTAAATTTTAGTTTAGCCGAGTAGGACTGAGATGTTTAATTGTCAAAATCTTGGTCAGAATCATGTTTTCAAAAATTTGAAATAATTCTAATGAAATATTATATTTCACAAGTATCAACTTAGATTCTGACCAAGATTTTGACAATTAAACATCTCAGGCCTACTCGGCTAAACTAAAATTTACGCCAATATTTCTAACTAGCAACAGAAAATATGTCGGCCATTTATGTGTCTACTGCCCCCACAGGGTGCAGTAGACACTATGTTGTCATGCAACAGTTGACCTTTCTAATTTTGGTGGAGGTCATGTGTAGGTGGATACCTTATGTGTGGTTAGTAACAGCATGGAGGTATAAATACCTCCATGGTAACAGGAACAGTTGTCCTGGTAACAGGATAAGGATATCACTGTCACTGTAATGTATCTATTAATTAAAAGGAAATACCATGGTGTAATGTAGTGTATACAATGAATAGGCAATTATACATGAGAGTATAATATCAACACCCCCACTTACTCTCATGATGTTAAACCATTAAATCATTTTCCATATCATTGTTTCTATGGAATTGGGCCACCAGCAGTAGACACATGCTCCCCCTGGGAGCCTATTTTTATATCTGATGTTTTCAGAACGTAAATTGCAGTGAGGCTACCCCTAGATTTTTCTTAAACTACAGTAATGAAATTTTGCCAGGAATGGGGCTTTAATACATCTTTTCTTTCTCTATGAATAAATACATAGCCTAGGCCTAGTCATATATGCCCTAGCCTACATATAGGGGCATACCTAGGCTAGAGAGAGGCCTACGTCATGGCACTTTTGTTTAGTTGCCCCAAAATGGAAACAAGCACCCAGTTCTGGCTCAAGTGTAAGCACTAACCCTCATAATCATACAAGTAGTCAACCAGAACCTAGCTCAACATACTACACTACTCGGGCCTAGCCTAGGCTTAGGGTAGGTTGGTGGGAAGGAGGAGGCCTCGAGTCCTATCTACACAGGCCCGATCTAGCATCCCATTATATAGGCCTAGGCCGGGCCCTACAATAGCTAGCCTAGGCCTACTCCTACCTATTGCCTAACGTTACGTAACGAACATATGTATCGCACCATGGAGTAATTAGGCCTAGCCTAATAGATCACACATATTCCATAATTGAACTTTAGTTTGACTAACCTGTAATAAGTGCGACTTTATCAACAAATGAGCTCATTTCAAAAAAAAATAAGCTCGCTCTTTTTCCCACAACTCATCCAGGGTAGGCCCAACATAAAAAAGTAGGAAAGGGGCTAGAGATAGATGAAACGTTTCTTAACTAGAGAGGGCGCCATTTTAGAGTTTGCAGTCCCAGTCAACAAATTACTTTACTTTATCGTCAACATTATTACGCCAACCAGCAGGAGGGACGAGTGATTGTTTTTCATTTTGCTAACTACAGGATTTATCTTTGGAAATATCATCAGGTTTTCCATCTTGCGGTAAGTAAATAATGTATACTCACAACATGTCATCGTATACTTATGCAACCCTAATAACACTGTGATAATTAGCAACATTATTCAGCTATTGTTGTCGTCTGTGTGTGCACAGTGTTGTGTTGATGTCTGCGGATGTCATCTTTTGATGAGAAAATGTGCTGTCTGCTAGACCGCCGGTAGTTCAGGTTTTTGTTTCCCTTCGTTAAGAAATGGTTTTTCAAGAATTTGCCTCGTATCATTGTTTTTAAAACAACAAGTAATTAACAGCCTCTATGTTATTAGTCTAGCTCTTGCGATCGACAGATTTAGTGCTCATCGGAATGAATCTTACTAAATGCTACCACGCACCAAATAATTAAGTATGATACATGAATAATTAAGAACCGACAGGAGAGGAGGGTGTTGCCAAACTGTAAAGACAGTGAATATATGGATGGGGCTATGCGCTGATCCTTTATTAGTCGAGTCTGGGGTGCTGTGGTCAGGTAGGTTAGACCATTGTCTGCCATTTCTTATAAATGTACATAGAATTATTAAATTACATTTATTTCATTTTTACGACTTAAAATGGAGTATTCTGAGCAAATTAGATAATATTGATGATAGTGTGAAGATGTACATAGTAGATTTGACTTTGTCCGAGAATATCTGTGTTTACAAGACAAAGCCCTGGGATTTGAAGCCAGGGTTATAGTATTATGTTACAGTGAAACACTCTCATTTATTCATTCAACCTCACAGGGATGTAGCCAGTGAAAATTAAGGGTGGGTATTAAAATTTTAAGGGTGGGTGCTGAATCTTGTGAGTATTTTTTCGCGTAGCGCCAACCGCATGAACAGTTATTAGATGGGGGGGGGGGTGGTAATGATAATTATGACTTACTTTGTTTGGTTTAAATAAAGAGGTAAGTATACTGTGAGATGAGTGCAAATATTAAATTTTACTAAAATCACTGTTCTTTTATTGACTGAAAGTAACTTGTAAATTTTCTTTAATTTCTGTGTGTTAAGTTTATTTGTTATATTTTCATCTCGTATTTTTCGTACGCAAATTTGATCCCTGAATAAGAAGGATGATATATTATGCACCTGTCAAACCTAGGCCTAGCTTTTTTCAAGAAATCATCGCACCACACGTACTGGCTGCCGCTAGCCTAGTCTCAAAAAACAACTAGGCCTAGCCTCCTAGAGTATTCTTACAACAAACATATTCGAATCGAAGGTGCAGGAAAAAAAGACATAAATAGAACGATCGATTTATTGTTGTATGTGTTATATTGCAAGAATTGTAAGTACATTAATGTAAAAAAAAATCGTTATTTGTTCAATTTCAAAACAAACTTTCGATTAACAAATCACAAACATTCAGCCTCTATCAACACACACATGATGCTCCGATCGAGATTGACGGCGGTAGCTCGAGATTGGACTCCATTCACCAGACGTTTTCTTGCGAAGCACGTAGTTTTCGATTGTGAATTATTTATTTATGCAGTATTGAATAAAGAAGTTAATAATA